GAGAAATTCAACTTCCAAACTAGTTGTCAAAGTTGACCTATGTTGATGAAGGTTGATTGTTGTTGTATACATGGCTAGAAATACAACTTCCAAACTGGTTGTCAGAGTTGACCTATATTGATTGTTGTTGTATACGTAGCGAGAAATTCAACTTCCAAACTAGTTGTCAAAGTTGACCTATGTTGATGAAGGTTGATTGTTGTTGTATACATGGCTAGAAATACAACTTCCAAACTGGTTGTCAGAGTTGATCTATGTTGATTGTTATTGAATACATGGCTAGAAATTCAACTTCCAAACTGGTTGTCAGAGTTGACCTATGTTGATGAAGGTTGATTGTTGTTTTATACATGGCTAGAAATTCAACTTCCAAACTAGTTGTCAAAGTTGACCTATATTGATGAAAGTTTTGGAGTATATGTGGCCAGAAATATAAATATCTCAGCACAAACAACAACTAGAAGTATTTGAATAAGAGTGGTAAGAGACAAGTATACAAGGTGGCCTTGAAAAGATTTTCAGAAAAGGGAACAATGGATGAGTTGCAACATTAACACCATCTTCACAATGTTTTGTTTTAAGAGGAGCAGTAGAAGAAGAAGAAGCTTTTTACTCTTGTATGTAAAGATTTGTTAAAAGTTATTGTCAGTTTATTGTGATGTAATTTCACACAAACCACTGATCTTCTTTCTTTTTGCTTCTAATTTTCATTGTATTCTTCTTGTTGTAAACTCTCTTTGCCCTCTTTTCCATGATAACTTTAAATGGATATCATTCATATTCACATCCACATTGACTACATTTATTGTACATGAAACAACTTTTGGATTTTCATTTGCAATTAATAGAAGGCACACAGTCATCTTCTGATGCAGCCTAAACGTTCTACTTCCATTTTATACACTGTAAAATGGTAATAGCAAAGAAAAATTCTAAAGTTTGGGCCTTTAAGTCACAAATTTAGGGTTAAAAGCACATTTATATTATTTCACTTAATTGTTTGTTCTCATTGAACTTATATAAAAAATTCTCCCTACAGTATGTTTTTTTTATAAAATGTTTGACATTCTTAAGTTTCAATAAACAACAAGTTGTACTTCTTTATATAGTTTAACAGTTTTCTTTTATTTAACTATATGTTACAGATAGATGTATATCACACTTTGTGAACTGTTTCTTTACTTTTGAGATGAGAAACTGTCCAGCCAATAGTTATAAGTAAAATTTGAATTTCTATCTATTCTTTTTTTTTTTTTTACAATTTTCAACAGAGAAAAGATTAACTTATTAATGAAGTTAAGAATTTAAAGACTGTGTTAGAGGGAAAGTTAAAAACTTAAAAGAAAACTATAAAATAAAAGTAGTTTCAGATAATATTAAGAAGTATTGCTTCTCAACATTTGTGTTATAACTATGAAAAAGTAAAAAAAAAAAGCAAGCATCTTTCAATCTAAATACAAGTGGACAAAACTTTAGGTTATATGCTATTAATGAATAAAGTTTATTATCACTGTCATGGTTAGTAGCTTATATCATTAACTAAGTCTGATGATTAATTATTTATTATTATTCAATCCTGGATCTCCTTGTTAGAAAGGCAGATGTGTTATCCACTCTGTTGGAATGTAAATCGAGTAATTTGGATGGTTCCAAGACAGGTATTTAGGTGTGGTATATGAATATGTTGTGTAATATTATAATATTTATTCTGAATTTATTTGTGAATATTTGCAGGCTTCACTTAAGACATGGTCAGACAACCATTAAGTTGACCTTGTTTCAAGTTACTTTTGTTTCTTTGTTATTCTCAAAGTTAGTTGTATCCTGTTATTGCCCATGAAGAACATTCATTAAATCAATTTTGTGTTAAGGGTTTCAACAGCAATGTTCTTCAACAGCTGTTCAGGTGAAACTGAGAAGTTATAGCTTCATGCACTTGTAATGAGAATAACTTGTCATGTGGTAGCTCCTGTCAGGCTTTATAAATACTAGGTCTTTCAAATATAAAGTAGAAGAGTACAAGCCATGTTTAGGTAAAGTAAAGGTACAAAGCTTGGAAGGCTGATAAAGAAGGCTTGTATATGACAGTTTAACTGAGCCTTTCAAATATGTTCAGAGAATTTCTGTGCTGGTAAAAGTACACACATGCTGTTGTTTATGTTGAGTGTTGTAATAAAGATGTTTGTTGCTTTTTGTCCAGTGTCTTTAATTCATTTGATAGACTTATCAGGTAAAGCTCAAACTATCTTAATATTACTTGAATACAACACAGGTTTCGCTAACTTCCACCTTACGTTGGTTGAGTATGTTATCAGCTAGTTGGAAGTAAAAGGCTTCTTTTTCTCATGTGTGGTTCATTTTTATTGCATGATCTTGTTCCCTACTTGATGGCAGGTCAGTGTAACAGAGTCTTGTTCGTTGTGTTCCTGAATTTTGACTTGTTAAGAGTCCACATTCATAAGGTATGTTATCTGTGAACTCCTTTGGGTCTTTAGGTGGTTTGGTGTGTACTAACTGTGATCATACTGTGTTTTGGTTTGTGAATACAGTTGACTCTGCTGTTTGCATATCAGAATGTGGCTATGTCTCTTTTTGCATATTCTTGATGTTTATCTTTATTTTGTTCCCTATCAAGTGTTCAGAGAATCTATAGTCAAGATTTGTAGTAGTGTGCTTTTCTCCATTCTTCTTATTGTATTCTGTATTATAAATGTTGTTCATTCTGGGAATTAGGCAGTCTTTAACATTATATATAAGTTAAAGATTTTTTTTTATCACAGGTGAAACTGAAAAGAGAATATGTGATT